TTCACTTCTAAGTTCTGGACAGCTTTTCAGGAAGCTCTTGGTACGAGATTGCTATATAGTACGGCGTATCATCCTCAGACAGATGGTCAATCAGAGAGGACCATACAAACTTTGGAAGATATGTTAAGATCTTCTGTAATGCAGTTTGGCGATGATTGGCATGCAAAGTTGGATTTAATGGAGTTTGCTTATAATAACAGTTACCATTCCAGCATCGGGATGGCTCCGTTTGAAGCCTTATATGGAAAGTCGTGTCGTACTCCTTTGTGTTGGTCAGAGGTCGGTGAAAGAGTTTTGGTGGGCCCTGAGATAGTGGAAGAGACTACTCAGAATGTTCAAGTAATTAAGTCTAATTTGAAAGTGGCCCAGAATCGGCAGAAGAGCTTAGCGGACAGGCATGCTACTGATCGAGTTTATAAGGTTAATGATTAGGTATTCTTGAAACTATCGCCTTGGAAAAGAGTAGTAACGTTCGGGAAAAAGGGTAAGCTGAGCCCTAGATACATCGGACCTTACCAGATCACCGAGCGAGTTGGTGAGGTTGCTTACAGACTTGAGTTGCCTTCAGAGCTGTCTAAAGTGCATAATGTACTTCATGTTTCGATGCTTCGTCATTACGTTGCAGATCCGTCGCATGTGATTCCAATTCAACCTTTGGAGATTAGTCCGGATTTGACTTATGATCAAGAACTAGTGACTATCTTGGATTGGAAAGAGAAAGTTCTAAGAAATAAGACAGTGCAGTTCGTAAAAGTCTTGTGGAGGAACCACTCGGTGGAAGAGGCTACTTGGGAAACAGAGGATCGGATGAGAGATGTATCCGAGATTATTTTATGATTATTAGTGTTGTATTTTGATTGTGTAAATTTCAGGGACGAAATTTTTATAAGAAGGGTAGGTTGTGACAGCCCGTCCCGCATTAACACTTTCGTTTGTGTGAAGTGTGTTTAATTATCCTAATTTTTTTTAAAGTTGGTTGATAATGGACGGATAGGGACGTTTTCGGCCGTATATGTTTGAATGATTAAACTTTGGAATCCTATGCCCTCACGGGGCTTACATAAATCATTCCTTTTCCCTTTTACTTTCTTTAATCCGTGATTTCCTCAACCTTGTCCTCTCACTCATTCTCTTTATCTTTCCCCGACAAACTCTCAAGCTCTCATTCACTCTCCCTCCTTCTCAAACCACACGGCCAAACACACGGACCAACATTAGAACTCTCTCAAATCTTCATAGATCGAAGAAAATAAAATCACCTTCGTCTTCGTCTCGACGATACGAGTCCAACCATACCAATTTCAGGTAAGAACTACAACGTTTTCACGTCGAAATCACGAACTCCGATTTAGGTACTATTCATCAACTTTGTATTGGTTGATTTTTGGGAGTTTTTAAGCTCATAGGGAGCTTAAGGAGGTTCTTAGGAAGCTCGGAGTGCTTCGTTGGAAGTTTTTGGACGTAAGAATATCGAGATCAAAAAGTTCAAGTTTGACCCGTGCCTTTCGAGCCAATTTCCGGCCAAACCATGCCGATTTGGCTGACATGCAAGGTATCAATCTCTTCGTCTCGTCGATTACTACAACTTTCCATTTTGTTTCACTCAATTTCGTTGAGTATTGAAGAAGTTATACTCATTTGAATCTTACCCAGTTTCCGGCTACCTCCGAGGCTTTTGAGGAAGTTTCCGGCCAAACCACGGCGAGCTAGGTGTTTTGTGAGGTACCATTCTCTTTGTCTCTTCAAGGGATACGACTTTCGTTTTTTAATCACTTGATTTCGTTGAGAAATGATAAAGTTATGGCAATTTGAAAAACGGCCCAGAAACCGGCGAACCAGTCCGGCAAGCCGAGGAAGAAGACTCGCGTGGGGGCGCGTGGACCCGTGCCCTACCCGGCGCGTGGGGGCGCGTGAGTGGCCCAAAAATTGTTCTAAAAATTGCTACGTGTTCGTGACGTCGTGTAGGTCATGGTGGTATATTCACATATCCAAATTGAGCAATATATGAGAAGTTATTAACGAATGTTGTGTATGTGCGTTTAAATGATGTTTGTATAATTATTCTTTTATAGGTGAGACTTATACCGAGGACTAGCGTAACCAAACTAGGCGTGGGGGTTACGAACCGGCTACTTATCAGTGAGTGGGCAGTTATTTTTTAGTATATATATATATATATATATATATATATACGTATACTTGACGTATTTCCCAGAAAACGTATTTTAAAAGAAATACAATTTAAGTAACCTGTTATGTATGCATCATATTTTAGTATATGCATTACCATAATTATGCATATTGTTGCATGGTGCTGAGGAGACCCAGGTAAGCTACATGTGAGTATATTACATTTGAAATACATTTGAAATACTATTGAAATACGATTGAGATACGATTGAGATATAATTGTGATACGATTGAAATACGATTGAGATATAATTGTGAAACGATTGAGATATGATTGTGATACGATTGAGATATGATTGAGATATAATTGAGATACGATTGTGATACGATTGAGATATGATTGAGATATGATGAATCATATGATTGAGATGTGATTGAAAGCTCATTTACTTGCACACGTATATTACTGCTCCCGCCCAGAGTTAGGGGCACAGTCTTTCACGTGATGTTCACCTCCCGCACCGCATGCTCGCCTTGGATCCAAGTTAGGTGCACAGTCCTGTCGTATAGACCACTTATGTGGGTTAGACTCGTAGGTGACCCGCGATTTATCGCACAGTCTTCACGTGATTGTAGCACTAGAGCATATTATGTTATATACAGTGATGAATTGCAGACCACATGAGGTGGTATTGAATGTGTGCAGGATATACATATATACATGATGTGATGAGATGATTATGAGCTATATATGCGACCGATGGCTGAGTTGATTATGATGAAAGAATATGAACTATGTTTATAGTCGAGCGTTGAATTGATTATATGGTATTCCATCATATTCACTTAGAGACGATGAGCATTCAGTTATGATACTTTGGCATGTCATACATTCATATTGTCCAGCATGAATTTGAGATATATTACGTATATGAGTATATAATTTATTTCTGGGAAACTATACTTGTTTTACGGCGAGGGGTTAATATATTCAAGAGAAAAGAAAGTTTTGAATAAGTTTGTTTTGCTAACCCACTCAACTTTGTTTTGCGCCCCTCCAGGTTCTAGGTAGCATTTGTTGTTGGATCTCGAGGTTTCCAGCTGAAGTTCTGACAGACCATCACTCATGTAGGACTATCCTCGAGTGTTGTAAATTAGTATATCTTATGTTTGACTGCACTTACACCTTGTGCTCTGGTTGTGTATTCACACTTAAACTTACTTTAGAACCTATCGTATTTGGTTTTAATTATTCGTACTTTTCTTAAAAATATCGCTTCCGCATAGCGCACATGGCTACGTCACGCTCACGTGACGGCCAGCATGCCTTGACTTTGGTCGGGGTGTGTCAGTTAAGATCAGTACGTGCTGTGTCTTCTCTCAGGGAGAGTGACTAGTCTCAAGTCATTGGTGTGTGTGACATTAAGACAAGTACGTAGGTGCTCAATAGAGAATGAGTTCACTGAACACGATCAACGAAAAGTTCTTATATTCATGTCATATGAAAACTCATGGTTGGGATAATGCAAAGTAGTCCTTTGACTTGAGGCATCATAGTTGTCTTGTGGTTAGGTACTTGATCTTTGATTATGTCAAAGTCACTCCATTCGCGGGTGTCCACGGCATAGTTGGGGTTAAGCCACTTAGCCATGGAGGCAAGTAAATGCGCAACAAGGGATCTCTAACCTTCAAACTGTTTGAGGGATAATACTCTATGATATGATTAAGAATCTCTGGCCAGAGTATGAATGAGATTTAGGAAGGCGTTGCAAATCACATTCAAGGTAATCATATAAGTAAATGAATCACACTGGATAGTAGACATGAATAAACTATCAAACCAAACATTGTGGTCAAGAGTATTGTATTAGAGAAAGACCGTATTGCATTATAATCCTAAACTGAATAGGTTCTCCACCTCTTCTGATTAGCTTGGGTAACCATGACATGCTGCTAGGTGTCACTCATGGTTTGTGGAAGCCCTAAACGTGTATAATCACTAAAGGGAGAATTGAAAGTAAGTTTCAATTCACAATCGATTTGAAAGAGTTCTGAATCGCCCACTGCCTCGCTAAAAGGAACCTAATGGATCGTACACCGTGTAAGGTAAAGATTGAAGAAACAACAGAGATGAGTAAGAATAATTAAATGGTTTAATTATTAATGGTAAGGATTAATTAATATGTTAATTAATCAAACGAATAAGTTCGTTAAAGATCTCGGGATAGTTTTGAACCTAAAGGCCCAATGGGCTTCGAACGTCAAGTCCATTGACTTAAGTTGTATGACAACTTAATGAATAATAATTCACAAAGGCCCAAATAGCCCAATAACACCCTAAGGCCGGCCTTGTTATGAAAATAGGGTTTTGGTTCTTTAGGTCACTTGAATGAAGTGACTATATAAAGAACTTTATAGCCTAAATTCATTAAGGGTTTCTTTTAGAGAATTGGAGAGAACATATCTCTCTCTTTTCTCTCTAAGAGGCCGGCCCCCTTGGAGGGATTAGCTAGTAATCTTTCTCCTCCAAGGTCACTCATCTCTTCTTCACATCTTACCTTGGTGTGGAGACTTAGAGGTTTTCTATTTTGAGAACTTGGAGAAACATATTCTTCCATCCAAATCCATGGATCTAAGAAGCAAGGAATGAAGGCCCTCTCCTTGGGTGATTAGCCTTTGCTTATGCAAAGAGGAATCTACAAAGGTATAAATTTCTCAACTCACTTTGATTTGAGTTGAGTCTTGGTTCACCAATCTACCAGGCTTTGAATTTCATGGTTAATGTTTTGTTTTTGAGTGCATGTAAGCATGATTCCGCCTTTAATTGTTAATTGCATGCTATATAGATGTTGCTCAAATGAACATGTTGTTCACAATTCCTTCACCATACGCGTGACATAAGATACCACAAGATGCGCAGCCTTATTATAGGCACGAGGAGTGTAACTAACCTCAATAGAACATAATTGTTGCTTAATAAGATTAATATCCCACAAAATAGCTTCCATAGTTGCATCAAGTTGCAGTTTCCCATGAACCATATCCACAAGAACCTTGGAATCCGTTTCCACATGAACAACAGTAAAACCCCTGTCCACTGTAGCCATTACAGCCATCCAAAGAGCTTCTGCTTCCGCCATAAAGTTGGAAACGCAGAACACCTTCCCCACACCGCCGGCACCTTTAAATATACCTGCAAAATCTCTAGCGACCCACCCATATCCTCCCACACTAGTACGATTGCACCAGGCACTATCACAATTTATTTTTATCGTCCCAAACGGAGGCTTTAACCACCCATTCGCAATCGTGCCGTCCCCAATGCACCCAGAACTATTGTCAAAGAACAAATCTTTATCACTCTTCACAATCTCCTTCCATTGATGCCGAAGTAACTGTAGCGCAACATTGGGTTCCACCACAACCTTCTCAAACACCACACTATTACGGCACTTCGAAATTCGCCATAAACCATACACCACCCAGCGCATAAACGTACAAGCCTCCTCCAACTTTCCATATTTCGCACACAACTAAATCCAACACTGCATAAAATCGTCCCCCACCACCGCAGTCACATCTAATTGAATCGGAGAACCAAACCAAAAGACACGAGCAAAATAACATCTGAAAAAAAGATGAACCTGTGTTTCCTCCTCACAATCACAAAACGGGCAACCAGTACTCAATCTAACCCCTTTCCTTTGCAAATTAGTACGGACAGCAAGGATATTCTGACATCTTCGCCATATGAAATGGCAGAGTTTAGGAGGAACCTTCAAACTCCAAAGATCTCGCCGTACCGAGGCCATAGTATCATTCGTACTAGTTTGCCCACCCCCTTTCCGCCCTAGTTCACCATTCCTATTCATCTCTTGGGCTACCAAATATCCGGATTTCACCGAATAGACTCCATTACGGGTATAATGCCAAATGACATGATCAGCACACCCAAAATGACTCAAAGGCATGCTCAGAATGATCTGTGCTTCATCAATAGTAAAACACATTTGAATGATCTCACGTTCCCAAGTTCCTTCAACGGACACCAATTCCGCAACCATCTGAGGCATCTCTGGATGTCTTGACAAAGGTCGAAAAGTTCTTGGTGTGGGCAACCAAGGATCCTCAACAACCTGAATATTTCTCCCATCACCCACTCGCCATCTAATACCAGACTTCAAAATTTTCCTCCCTTATAAAATGCCCTTCCAACCCCATGAAGTTTCACGCCCCACTGATGCTTCAAGGAAAGATGAATTAGGATAATACTTAACTTTAAGTACTTTAGCCAACAGTGACTCTGGAGAACAAATCAATCTCCATCCCACCTTAGCCAACATTACTAAATTAAACTCAATAATTTCCTTAAAGCCAAGACCCCAGAGATCTTCCTGTGCGCCACTTTTTTCCAAGCAAGCCAATGAACACCCTTTTTCGTCTTCTGATCCCTCCACCAAAAACGAGCTATAATTTGCTCGATTTCCTTTGCCAATTGAATAGGCAGTTGAAAACATGACATTGTGTAAATAGGTAAAGCCGCCGCAACACTTTTAATTAGCACCTCCTTACCTGCTACCGACAAAAACTGTTCCGCCCAGCCATTAATTCTTTCATCCAATTTATTCCGCACTTCTTCAAACACCTTTTTCTTTGAAGCTCCAAAATCAGCTTGTATACCCAAGTATTTCCCAAATCCTTCCTGATGTTTAATCCCCAAAATCTGGGGTAGATTAGATTTCAGCCCCTTTGAGCACCCCACACTAAAATGTACCGGGCTCTTATCTAGATTAATGAATTGTCCAGACCCCTCAGCATACCGTTGAAGCAAAAATTTAACATTATACGCCTCACTCTCCGTAGCTCAACAAAATAAAACTAAATCATCAGCGAAAAACACATGTGACAAAGGCTCAGCCGAAGGAGTTACTATCATACCTCGAATGCATCCCCTTCTCTTGTCATTATGGATTAAAGATGAAAAACCTTCGGCACATATAAGGAATAAAAAAGGTGATAATGGGTCACCTTGCCGAATGCCTCTCCTAGGTGTTATAGGCATAATTTACTGAACAATTATGGAGGCCGCATAGAGAGAGAAAGGTACGACAATAGTAGAGAGAAGAGAGAGATGTGTAACTGTGGGTGTGTTTTATTCCACTCCATTGTGAATTTATTTATATTAGTAGGGAAAGTTAATTCATTACCCTTTTAGGATTACAACTTAATAGAATATTAACTACTAAGGGGAATATAAAAGATATCCCTAAATATGTTTGGATTTATACAATCACATTCCTATTCCAATAGGACTGCAACAACAATTTCTTAATCTTGGGATAGAAATAGAATTTTTTTAATATGCATAGGCTAGGCCTTGTGTTTCGTGTCGTGTTTGTGTAATATCTGTTATCTTAAAAGATCGTGTCGTGTCACACCCGTTATCTTAACATGTTCTTAACAAGTCGGGTCACTTTACCAACAAGTAAAATGACCCAACCCGTTAAGAAATTTTTATTTTTCTTAAATTTGCACATACCACATTGCCACATAAATATTAATTCAAAGCATAAAATCACATTTGTCATTAAGTACTACATCTACACTTGAAAATAAGAGATTAATCAAAAAGCACCAATACACTACTAGTCTACTGCAAAATATCAAATGTGCAAGGATATGCAAAATGAATGAATTTTTTTTTCAAAGTTGTGAAGCCTTTCTCAGAAGTAAAAACTTTGTCAATGAAACTCAAAACCTTGCATGTTATTCCTTTTACAAAATCCTTCAATTTTCATCGATCATCATGGAGAAATTGTATTGAAACTTTGGCTGGATCTATTGTCTTTAAGAGTTATGTTGATAATGTTTTCAGTAAGGTTTTCCACATCAAAACTCTCTTCTGCATAAACTAAGTATAGAAAAAACATACATTATAACCATTCAAATTATGAGAATTTTACCAAAATAATTATGAAAAGAAATAAAATAATAATACTATACCATATAAAAATGGGAATTTTAACGAAAAGCTCCAGTACTGTTCACTTTAACGAAAAACCACATTTTTACCAGTGTTCGAAAACGCGGCCTAGGCGCTGGGCGGTGGTTCGCCTCCGCGATTAAACCAAAATCGTAGAAGAAATCGGAAAGGGTATTAGGCGGCGCCTAGATGGGCGCTGGGCAGGCTAGGCGGCCTCGACGACCGCTAGGCGGCTTTGATGGTAAGTCGATTACAACGCCGTTCTTCCGTTGTTGTAATGAGGTTGGACGACCATCCTGATGGATTTTGACCTGCAATTGTAGAGAAAATGAAGTGAGACGATTTAGCTAGGATGAGAGCGATAAACATCAATATGCAATTAAAGGGTAAAGATGTGGTACGAGATAGTGGATCGGCAATTGCAAGGTAAAGAAGAAAGAAGAGGACGGCTTGGCTGGGGAGAGGGAGAGGGAGGGAGAGAGAGCGATAGAGGTATCTGCAATTGCAGAGAAATGGGGCGACTGTGCAATTTTGCAATTAGAGTTAGGGTTTATTTTGGTTAGCGATCTACAATTAAATGGAGCGGTAGAAGTATTTGCAATTAGATTTAGGGTTTATTTTTGTTAGGAACTTAGGTGGCATTTCTTTAAAACAAGGTCCAATTTATTTTCAATGAAAAACAAAGGCCTTGTTCATTTTTAATGAAAAATAAAAGCCTAACAACAACAACAACAACAAAGCCTTTTCCCACTAAGTGGGGTCGGCTATATGAATCCTAGAACGCCATTGCGCTCGGTTTTGTGTCATGTCTTCCGTAAGATCCAAGTACTTTAAGTATTTTCTTAGGGTCTTTTCCAAAGTTTTCCTAGGTCTTCCTCTACCCCTTCGGCCCTGAACCTCTATCCCGTACTCACATCTTCGAACCGGAGCGTCAGTAGGCCTTCTTTGCACATGTCCAAACCATCGTAACCGATTTTATCTCATCTTTCCTTCAATTTTGGCTACTCCTACTTTACCTCGGATATCCTCATTCCTAATCTTATCCTTTCTCATGTGCCCACATATCCAACGAAGCATCCTCATCTCCGCTACACCCATTTTGTGTACGTGTTGATGCTTCACCGCCCAACTTTCTGTGCCATACAGCATCGCCGACCTTATTCCCGTCCTATAAAATTTTCCCTTGAGCTTCAGTGGCCTACGACGGTCACATAACACGCCGAATGCACTCTTCCACTTCATCCATCTAGCTTGTATTCTATGGTTGAGATCTCCATCTAATTCTCCGTTCTTTTGCAAGATAAATCCTAGGTAGCGAAAACGGTCACTGTTTGGTATTTCCTGATCTCTGATCCTCACCCCTAACTTATTTTGGCCTCCATTTGTACTGAACTTGCACTCCATATATTCTGTCTTTGATCGGCTTAGGCGAAGACCTTTAGATTCCAACACTTCTCTCCAAAGGTTAAGCTTCGCATTTACCCCTTCCTGAGTTTCATCTATCAACACTATATTGTTTGCGAAAAGCATACACCAAGGAATATCATCTTGAATATGTCCTGTTAACTCATCCATTACCAACGCAAAAAGGTAAGGACTTAAGGATTGTTGATGCACAAAATCAGTGAGGACTTTGGTATAACAGAAAGTATTAAGTTTGTGATCTTCGCTAGATTGCTCCGGTCATTAGTGTGGATAAGAATGTAAATGGATAGGGATAGAAAAGCAAACACAAGATGTACGTGGTTCACCCAGATTGGCTACGTCCACGGAATAGAGGATTTTTCATTAATTATGTAGGGTTTACACAAGTACATAGGTTCAAGCTCTCCTTTAGTGAGTACAAGTGAATGATTTAGTACAAATGACATTAGGAAATATTGTGGGAGAATGATCTCGTAATCACGAAAGTTCTAAGTACCGAAATGTGGTATCGTCTTCACTTGCCTTATCTGTCTCATAGGTAGATATGGCATATTCTCTGGAAGTACTCTTCCTCCATCTAGGGGTGGTATCTTTAACTGGTGGAGATGCACAAGGTAATGTATCAATTTCACTTGAAGCTTACTTGTAGTTTCAGGCTTGGTCAAGTACGATGCAAACCATGTAGTAGGAGTCCCCCAAGTCGCCGAGCTAGGGGATCCGCTGAAAGAGGTGACAGACAAGGTAAGCAATCAAAGCTCCAAGCAATCAGTCCCAGATCAGAAGTTTGATTTCGAGTTCCGGCTGATTGTTCTCATTCTCCCTATCTTGCAGGCAACATGAAGGATAAAGAGAAGAAAAAGGAGAATAGATGATATGAGATACTTTTGCTTTTGAAGAAGTAACTTTCCACAGGCTTATTCTTGAACTGGGCTGGGGGTTTTTTGGTTTCCTCCAGAGTATAAGGCCGACTGAAGAATTTGAGGGTCAAAACAAGTCCATCAAATCTAGAGTATATTCGACCCTGCTGATATGAGATACTTTTGATGTTGACAAAGTAGTGGATGTATCGGCACGTGTTCTGTTATGCTTGTCTCCACATGCTTCCTTGTATCCTTCTCACTTGCCCTATATGTTCCTCAGGCAGATGTGGTGTCTTCTTTGGAAGCATAATATGGGATACTCTTGCTTTTAACCCTGATGATATGAGATATTCCTGCTCTAGTGTAGCTTGTTTGCAGAGGTATTATTGGCAGGAAAGAAAGCTGAGTATTTCGATAGGCTTCGTTGGGAGTGCCCTCTCAGATATGAGGAAGGGTTAAGCATTTTTGCAGGTCTGCCTGTCCGTTGAGGATGGAGGTCGACATATATAGGAGTCTCCCTAACAAGTAGTAATGCTATTCCTTTACCCTGCTTGGTCATAGCACGGTAGTGGGAGCTGCCAGCTTCACATGTTTTAACTCTGTCAGAGCACTTTGAAAAAGTGGTCTGTGGTATCTGGAAAGCTGATGTTGCATGTGAAGATTACAGACAAGCATTATCCAATGAGATCTGGCTCTCAAAGTTGAAAAAGTGGTACCTCTTCGGTTTTTGAACAAGCAATCCTGTCGGGGATCTGGCTCTCGAGATTTGGAGAACGGTGCCTCTTCGATTTTTGAGAAAGCAATC